ACAATCTAACTAAGTCTAAAGTGATGATAAAAATCATGCTGGCCACTCAGCTCATTAAAACAATAAATAAGGCCGGGGCAGTGGCTCACACCTTTAATCCCAGCACTTTGGGAGGCTGAGGTAGGTGGATCACCTGATCAGGAATTCAAGACCAGCCTGGCCATCATGGTGAAACCCTGTCTGTACTAAAAATACAAAAATTAGCAGGGCATCACGGCAGGCACCTGTAATCCCAGACTCGAGAGGCTGAGGTAGGAGAATCACTGGAACCTGGGAGGCGGAGGTTGCAGTGAGCTGAGATCATGCCACTGCACTCCAGCCTGGGCAACAGAGGAAGATTCTGGCTCAAAAAAAGAAAAAAGAAAAAAAAAAAGACAATAAATAAAAGGGAATTTTACAATAGATGGATCAGGCTGATAACATCTAAACCATGGAACCGATCTGAAAATCACAAGGAAATAAAACCAAAGATTATGTGATTGTTGATATGATGCGATAGAAAGTTCTTGTTAAATTAAAAAAACAAAAAGTTAAACATAGCATGATCATGCCTCTAAATCTAACCATCAGCATAACAGGCAGAGTTAAATGATGCACTGTGGATGAAATAAGCCAAACCAAGAATGTAACAAAGTCTACAAGGCAAATCACCCACCTGACTTCCTCAAGAAAAACAAAAAATGTTTAAAAAATATTTTTCTTAGTATGCAAGGAGAAATAACTTTTAATGAAAAGATATTTGGCCAGGTGTGGTGGCTCATGCCTGTAATCCCAGCACTTTGGGAGGCCAAGGTGGGCGGATCATCTGAGGTCAGGAGTGCGAGACCAGCCTGACCAACATGGTGAAATCCCGTCTCAACTAAAAATACAAAATTATCCAGGCATGGTGGTGAGCACATGTCATCTCAGTTACTCGGGAGGCTTAGGCAGGAGAATCACTTGAACCCAGGAGGCGGAGGCTGCAATGAGCCAAGATCGCACCATTGCACTCCAGTCCAGGCAACAAGAATGGAACTCTGTCTCAAAAAAAAAAAAAAAAAAAAACTCAACTGATATATCTATCAGATTTACTACTTGGACTTGTATCCTGATTTCAACCAAGTATTAATAAATTTATGAAAATGTGAACACACTTTTGTTATCTTTTGAAATGTTTTTGTTAATTTTTTAAAGTGTGATAATGATATTGTGGTTTTCTAAAGAGTATTGGATATATCCATATAAGATTTCTTATAGTAATCATGATAGGATTTTACAATTTGCTTTAAAATATTACAAGAGTGAGAGGAGTAAGTAGAATAGGATTAGCCAGATGCTGCTAAAGCTCAGTAAGGGGAATTTTTTTATTTAATTTAATTTAATTTTTTTTATTATTATTATACTTTGAGTTCTAGGGTACATGTGCATAACGTGCAGGTTTGTTACATATGTATACTTGTGCCATGTTGGTGTGCTGCACCCATCAACTCGTCAGCACCCATCAACTCGTCATTTACATCAGGAGTAAGGGGAATTTTTAAAATCAAAATTAAAAACTTCTGCTCTTCCCAAGATATAAAGAAAATAGAGTCACATACTGGAGGGAAAATATCCAGAATGCATGTATCTGACAAAAAGACTTACAAGAAGAATATACAAAAAAATCTTCATTAATTTATTTAATGAGACAACCCAATTAAAAATCGGCAAAAGATATGAACAAACACTTCATAAAAAGATACTTGAATGGACAATAAACACATGAAAAGAAGTTATCAGCAAAATGTTACTGAGCAATCACAGAAATGCAATATAAATCCACAATGAGATGCCTCCAAGAACCACTAAAAATAAAATGACTGTTAATCCTAAATATTCGTGAGGATGTAGAGCAACTGGAACTCTCATATGCTGCAGTTCAAGTTTAATATGTATGGTATAACCACTTGGAAAAATGACAGCCAAGAAGTGGAAAAAAATCCAAATGTCTAACAAGTGAGTAGATATACAAATTGTGGTATGTCCTCACGATGGATAATACTCAGCAATAAAAAGGATTAAACTATGGACACTTCCATATATATGGATAAATGGATAAATCTCAAAAGTATTCCTCTGCATAAAAGCAATAAGATCAGAAGGCCTCCAAGTTTTTAAATGCCACAATAAGATATCATTATAATAGATAAAATTATATAATTTTTATGGAGTCATGTATTACAAGGGCAAATCATGTTATGAAGTTAAACCAAGAATTTAAGAAGAAATCACTAAGGAGGAAAATCAAATAGTTTTAATAACCTAAGACATTATAGCCATGTCCTCAGGGGACTGAGAACATAGAGAAATAATAGGCTATTTTAGTCCTCATGTCTGAAAATAGAACAAGTCCTAGGAAAAAGGTGAATGTTTTACTCATAGTAAATCAGGGCCCTTTCCCCCCCACCCCAAAACTGTTCATACTTTGGAAATAAAAAAGACACAATTATTATTAGAATATGTGAAATGACTTTTTTTTCCGAGACCAAGTCTTCCTCTTATCGCCCAGGCTGGAGTGTAATGGCGTGATCACAGCTCAGCTCTGCCTCCCAGGTTCAAGGGATTCTTCTGCCTCAGCCTCCTGAGTAGCTGGTATTACAGGCACCCCCCACCACGCCCGGCTAACTCTTTGTACATTTAGTAGAGACAGGCTTTCGCTATGCTGGGCAGGCTGGGAACTCCTGGCAGTCAGGATCACTTGACTTCAGGTGACCCACCTGCCTCAGCCTCCCAGATTTTTTGTATTTTTAGCAGAGACGAGATTTCACCATGTTGGCCAGGCTAGTCTTGAACTCCTGACCTCAGGCGATCTGCCCGCCTCGGCCTCCCAAAGTGCTGGGATTGCAGGCATGAGCCACCGTGCCTGGCCGTAAAATGACTTTCATATTGGTAATTGTTGGATAATCAGCATTTAGACTAGTAAATACCAGGCATTATTTTAGAGATGCCAATCTCTCCATAGTGTTTTCTTTTTTTGTTTTTTGTTTTTTTTGAGACAGAGTTTCACTCTTGTTGCCCAGGCTGGAGGAGTGCAATAGCATAACCTCGACTCACCGCAACCTCCGCCTCCCAGCTTCAAGCAATTCTCCTGCCTCAGCCTCCCAAGTAGCTGGGATTACAGGCATGCACCACCACACCCGGCTAAATTTTGTGTTTTCAGTAGAGACGGGGTTTCTCCATGTTGAGGCTGGTCTCCAACTCCTGACCTCAGGTGATCGCCCACCTCGGCCTCCCAATCCAAAGTGTTTTTTAATTAAAAATGAAAAAAGATCAATATGAAAAATAATCCTTTAGTTTCATTTAATTAACTTTTATTTGTTTTTTGAGTTGGGGTCTCACTCTATCATCCAGGGTGGAGTGCAGTGGCATGATCTCAGCTCACTGCAACCTCTCCCTCCGTGGATTTCAGGTGATCCTCCTACCTCAGCCTCCCAAGCAGCTGGGACTACAAGCATGCGCCACCATGCTCGGCTATTTTTTTTTTCTTGGTGTATTTTTTGTAAAGATGGGATTTCACCATGTTGCCCAGGCTGGCCTCGAACTCCTAAGCTCAAGCAATGTGCCTGCCTCGGCCTCCCAAAGTGCTGGGATTATAGGCATGAGCCACTGTGCCCAGTGAAAAATAATGGTTTAGAACTCTGAAAACCAAAGGTACTAGAAAAAATATATTCCTGGACATTTAATTGTTCAGAATAGATCTCAAAGTGGGATAAAAATATCTTGGATCTATAACTACAGTGTGTTCTATGTATGTAAGGCTGATGGGAGCATAGATGTGAACCTGCCCCATCAAATTTTCTTGCACAATTGAAGAGGTATAACAAGGGAATTTTAGTTTTTTTGTTTTTTGTTTTTTTTTTTTTAAGTAATTTTCAGAATATTTAGAAAACAAACTGAGGTCATAATACGCCACTTCAGTAATTACTGGTTTTTCATTCCCAAACCTCAAAGTAAATAAGAACAAATTAGTTTTAAAATATTTCATTTCCTTTTAAAAATTCACTTACATAAAATAAATTTAAGGTTTTGAATTCAAATATAGGTGCCAATTAGATTTACGTCCATTTCTTCTATATACCCCTTTGATCTGCATTTTTTATATAAAGTCCCATGACTTAGGCAGGCACAATAAGGCAAAATTAGACATTAAAGACATGGCATCCCAGATAGTAAGTCTTCATTCAATATCTGCTGCCCTAATGAAGTTAGTACTGCTTCTGGTAGAAATGCAGTCTGTGTCCCTTTTGAGTTCTTCTACATTTATGCTTGGGAAGCTTTTTACTTCACTAACTAAGGTATACTGTTAACTTCACCTGAATTCAACCTCACTGAATAAATAACAATTCTAAATTGTTCAAACCTAAATTAATAAAATTTTACTCTATTTCTTTCAAATATTTTTCACAAGTGAATCCCTACCTCTCAGTGGTAGCATCTGAATTCTAAATTATGCTACACTATCTGTAGCTATTCTGCAATCCATGAAGCATGGATGTTCTGCATTGTGGGAGATGTAGTTCACTGACCACATTTTCACCTGAAGGCAGTTATGTTTAATATAAACATCTGACTCAAGTTCTGTGTGCTAAAATATCTGACAGCATGCATTCCATAAAATACTTTAAATTCATTAGGAACATACCTATATAAAACGGTAAAGCATTTGCCACAGTTTCATAGCAAGCACTTTCATTACTTAAAAAATCTACATTCTAGTATTTAAGCACTCTAATACTTTTTCATTAATGATTTTTCAATTGGAAACACACACACACAAACCCAACTTGTAAAACACAGGAGAGAGTTTGGCTTTTGCATTAATTTTAGCAAGTGTGAACAATAATTTCTCTTGCTAACAGACAAAAATAATTTGACAAAAAAGAAGTACGGCACTGGGAAATAATAGATTCGGAATGGAAACATCATCCTCTTAGATATGAATATTCCAAATCAAAATTAAACTTGACAGTAGATTCACTTACCAATATTTTCTGTGGGCATTGAGACCCTTGTTGGTTCTAAAAGATTGTCAGCTAGGACAAAAGCTCCTTCTTCCAATGTATCGAGTAACATTGTTGCAGTATGTGCTTGTTCAGAAGAATTCATATGTTTCCATGATTCCAAAGCTTCAGGTCTCAGAAGGTTGTCCACTGTGTCAACAATTGCCTGTATCCATTAGAAAACTATCATTAGTTTTGACTGCTTTTAGAACCAAAGTGATTTTCAGTTGCTGACGAGTGACAATTGTAATATTTATCTGTCATGATGATTTACTCTTACTTCAAGATGGAAGAACACCTAGACAACATATATCTGGTCCATTTTAAAATATACCTGGACCATTTTAAAACAGGACTGACTGAAGATTAACAGATTGCTATTTGATTACAAAGAGTAAGTGTAGAAAGGTGGATTGTTTCTATTTATTTAATCACACCTCAATTGTTGACAGCTGACAACCACCTGTGTCAGCTCTTAATCCGAGACATTACTCTTACAGGTAGAGTCAAAACTACTAAAGTCATCCTATTTATAATCTCAAGATTTGAAAATTCTAAACCAAAAATACTAATGTCTTTGGAGTAGATTAATATGTATGCTTGAAAATTAAACTACACTATTTTTTGGAATCTCAACTAAAATAGTAACCAAAATTATTCCTTATAGACACTGTCTACTTACAATCATTTGAAAAAAACAAAACAAAACAAAAAGGTAGCATTAAAGTTCATCAATTATCTGTGAACATTTTCACTCTTCCAATTCTCTGTCCAGCTAAAAAACACTTGAGCATATACTTTAATTCATCAACAATGATCTGCTTTTAAAGGGATAAAGAAAGGAATCAAAATTAAAGCCTCTACTGATAAGTTAAAGAAAACAGGAAAGTAGAATCAAGTCTTCATAAACACCCAAGTTGTAAATATTCACATATGTAGGTTTAATTTATTGCTACACAAAATAACATTAAATAAAATATAACTCAGTTAATCAACTGCAGGCAGGATCTTATACTAATACACTCTGTAGCTATGCACTATGCTTTGGAAAAGTGAAATCACTAAGTTTATTTACTCTATTCCATTCACCCAGTCATAATGTGTCATTATGCCCATAAACACATAGTTCTGATATACTGGTAATCACTGAAGAAAAAGAACATACATTGTACAAAAAGAAAAACAATAAAAATTGCTAGCGTGAGGTACTATATGAATGGGGGAAAGTTGTTTGAAGCTACTGTCAGAGTAAGATTAATTAGCTTAATCCATCTTAATACCCTCATCCTGTCTGCCTTGTGAGCCACCACGACCTTCCTGGCAGGTGGAAGATACTTCCAAGTGGCGTTAAAGGCTTTTTTTCTCCATCTCACGGGAGATAGAATAGTCAAAATACTCACACTGATACTGCTGCAGCCATTAAGTAGAGTGTAACAGAAATTGGTCTGTGGAGGCCAGATTCATTAGTCACCAAGAAATACAGACTGGAGCCTCTCTCTAATCTACAAATGAATCCTCTGTCACAAAGTGGGAACTCGCTTCATTTGCATAGTGTAAGTCAGCCTCTGATTTGTAATTTAAAGAGTTTTATTAGTCTTATCTGAACAGAGAAGCTCACTTGAGACATACTGAAAATGACACTGGTCAGAAACTAAGGTCATGTTGAAATTTACTCCATGTACACATAACTTGCTAATGGCATGCTTTTATTAATTTGAAACACTCCTTATTTATTACTATTTGTACTTGTCTAGTGGGATCAAAATGATCATTAGCCTAATCATATTCCTGAAGTAGTCTCTTTCTGCCAAAGGAAAAAAAAAAGCTATTCTTTTCCAACTGAGATGTATGTCCTGGGCAACATACCAATTATTACATTTCATACACTAATACCTTAAAGGTGAACTGAACACTGAAGTTTAAAAAATTCTATAGATTTCAGCAGTTATTTCTCTGCCCCTATTAAACAGGCTAAAAGGGGACTTTCAGACCATTATTACCTAAAAACAGACTTTCCTACTACACCTTTTCTTGTAAAGTTCTCAGATTCAACAATGTCTAACACTAACTAGTGAGACGTCATTTTTTTCTAGACCTTGCCAACCAAAATCAGTGAAGTCATGGCTTTTTAATAATCTCTAGACTAAGAAACTAAAAAGTTATTTTGTTTTACTGTCACAATATATGGATTCGTTCTTCAAGGTTTGATTTACCACTGTTATGGTCCCCTGAAGAGTAAGGTTAGAAAATAACTATTTCCCCAAAAAGAACTTTCTAAAATTCACAGAACAAAACAAAATGCAAGTTGGTATTATTATTTTGATCTATCACACAGAACCACTACGGCATAATTCCACTGCTACCCTCAGCATGTTTCCTATTACTTGGATATACCAGGGAGAAAACCCGGCTGGTGTGGACAGGGATTCTGAGCTCAACAGTGACTTTCTGTTCCTATTAGCTTGATAAAAAACAGTATGTAACATATACAGATATCACAGTCAAATTATTTATGTTTCATTTTTAGTAACCCATCCCCATATCAACTTGATTCTAGAACTGACTCCTAAAAATTTCAGAATAAAGCCTATTTTATTTAAGAGTATACCACAAAGAAAGCAGTGACTTTTTCATGCACATACATTATGACTATACAGTCTTTGATATGATAAACTGCCGAGAATATATCATAGCTGTTTTACTCAAGTTGTTTTTTAATCCACAGAGATGACAACAGGAAACAAAGAGACTACATAATTACTTTCCAATTAAGAGGATATTTCATTAAAATTCGTGTACTTTTGGATGAATGGAAAAACAGCAGAAATCATTAAAAGTAAATCATTTGCTTATTCTGAGAGTAATATACCTGTGAAAAGCCAACATTTGTACAGCTGATATGGGGCACATTATATAATTATCAAAGACTGAAATACATTGGATCATGCAGCAAGATGATAAAGCGTGGCAGGTAGCTGAAGAAGGGAGAAAGCAGGGTGACAGCACAGGAGAGATACCTTAAGGTAAGCCCTGCATGTCTTCTCTCGTTTTTGGAGCTTTTAAGTAAAAGAAAAGAAAATCAGAGGTTAGATTTTTATCTGCTGAAAATGAGGAAAGAAGAAATCCTCAAAAATTAAGCTGGTGTTCCAGAGGTTGAAGTTTATATGCAGTAGTCCTCTGGAGTCTGAGTCTGCACTGACTACCAAAACTGCTTATTTACAGTTTTTTATTCTATTTTATTATGTATATTAATCTAAAATATGTTGACAAAAAGAGACAAAATATATACTGCAATAAAAAAAAAAAGTCAATTTTTTAACCAGGTAGAACCACATTAGGCATAGATTTTGGGTTCCTATGAACCTAATATAAACACTTATAGTGTGATGAAAAGTAGCAATCCAACTTTTGTCATAATAGGAAAAATTAATGGCACTGATAACAATATATTCCTGGAGACGGCAACTTGTACTTCTTCCAAAAGCTGCCATTGAAAGAAATATTTCAGTGGCTAATATTCCTATATGTGTCACAATTTTGCTGCAACTGTAAGAGTTCCATGTATTAACATACAAAGTATATCGACTGTATAACATGTAATCTCTCCAAGTGCAGATAATGCATTATAAACTGACAGTATTGACCACAATCAGATGGATAAAGTTTGGCACCAACTAAGATCTCTATCAGGTAATTAACATCATTTACACTCTTTTGGGAGGGCACGACACATGGCTCTTTTCTCAACTGTAACTCTTCCTTGGAAAAATGAACCAAATTAGAAATTTTGCCTCTAAATATATGCCCCAGGACCAAAGATTTGGCTCTCAACTGCTGTAAGACAAGAGCTGCCATACCAAGTGTCTAATTCAAAATAACAGAAGAGTTCTCCCTACCTTGTTATAACTCCGTCCTGCTGAATCTTTTTCACTAGGTTTCAGTTCCTGCAGCTGCGCATCAAGGATATCCACCAACTGCTCCATCAATCTCACTGAAGAACTTACATCCCCAGCAAACACTGGCCCTTTGGTATGTTTTGCCAGTTCATTGGCAAGACTAGCAGCATTTTCTCCACTTCTGATCTGAAATGACAATTTGTATTACCTCATTTAAATTTTTTGTTCTGTTTACGGCTTCTAGTTCTCCTTGAGTATCTTTATTGTGGTGAAAAAAATCTGCAAATGTTACATTCTCCAACTAATTAAAACCGATAACTTTATCTTAGAAGTTTTAAGGCTCTTAGATCATCAACACACACACATACAATTCTGAACCAGGCATTTAAAAAAAAGAAAAAAAAAATCCTTTCTCAAAAATTTCAGCCATTTCTCTCATTTCAGTGCAACCATTTAAAATTGTTATTTTAAAGTCTTATTTATTCCAATGATCCAGAATTTAAATCAGTATGTAATCAGCATTATACTTAGGGTTATTATCTGATGTTTATTCGTCATAAAGGTAGATGGAGGAGAAAATAAAATGGCATTGCATTACACTGTAATATTAAAGTTACTAATGCCTTTTAAAGTAGTTTACTCATTCTACCATAATCATGTGTGATATAAACATCTGCTTGCATTCTGTGGATTCAGTTGCCAACTTAATGATCCCTATTTGATTTAATAGGCCAATGCAGTTTGTCTTATGAACATCAAAAGAAAGAGAACTAAATATGAATGAAATTAACAAGCATGTACTCACTAAAAAGCTTAACAAAGAGAACAGGATACCCCCAAACATATGTAACTTTCAGTCAACAGTTTACAGACAAAACTATGCATAATTTTTTTTTTTACTTTTATACTGAACAAAGAGCAATAAACCTGGTTTTAACACACAAAGCTAAATTATTTACATTAGAAGTTAACGCCCTAAATCACAAATGTGTCATATTAAAAGGTTCCAACCAACCTTCTGAGCCAGCTGATTCACCCAGTGTGAGGTACAGTTGCTAAGATCGGGGCCCTTAGGGTTCCATGTTCCAGTGGAAACCATGCAGAGATACGAGGCAGTTCCTACAACAGATGTAGAAAACAACAGTGAAATTGAAACCATTTTTTCTGCATGCATTCGGGAAATCAGCTATGATGATCCTGCTCTGCGTGTTAAATTTTGAATAAACTCTAATGCAAGTATTTGACAATAACTGACAAAAAGTAGGGTATAATGCATATTATAAATGGTAAATATGAAGTCAGCATAGAAATATCATATATTTACAGCAAACAAACAAAAAGCCCTTGATTTTCTTGGGATTCATCCAAAGCGATGCTTATAATGAGAAAGGCAGCTGTAAGGAAGACTCACTAGAGTCTTGGGGCAAAAATCTCAGGCTTGACCTAGGTCTCTGAAAGGGAGAGGTAATTTATAGTGCCTGATCTTAAATGACTTTTACATTTTAAAAAACTTTGTCCATAGATGTTATATTACCAAAGCACAAAAATAAAGTTAGCTACTGTAAACATCACTTTCTTCAAATAAAATCACTTCATTGTAATACAGAACCTAGTTACTAAACTGAAAAATGTATGCATGGTATTTTATAGAAAATACCTCTTGTTCCCTTAGGGCATGGTCGTTCAACCATCATCCCCCTTTGTGTCTGAGGCCACTTTATCCCCTTGGAGTCTAACGCTTCACAGAATCTCTCTGGCAGGGGAAAAATATTTGTTACAGGTGGAATTTTGGTTGTAGAAACTGCTGGAGGTGGTTTTGTCCCTTTGCTTCCTTCCTGTGATCCAGCTACAGTTGTGCTCATGGGGCCTTTCTGTGAAGTAGTGCTTGTGGTTGATATTGTGGTTTTGAACAGCTCAGCTGAAGAAGTTATTGTCACAGCTGTGGTAGGCACTATGGAAAAAAGATGAGTATATTAATCTCAAACATACACTTGCGCTCACATAGAGCCATGCACACGTGGAATGTGTGCATGCGCACACACACAAAACCCTACCCATCCGTCTGTCCCCAAACCAAGGAAATGAGAATTACTGACAATATCACTCGTGAGTAAGAATACATCTTTTCATATGTTCCAATTCATTCATACTGATGGCTAAGAGAAGGTAGGTAGTTTAGGCTTTACTATAGCATTTGCTGTATGACTCTTAGATTTATTTCTCAATGAAATATGTGATAATACAGTTTAAGTATAATTTCATCACATACTGTTTAACAGGAAATGTGGGACAGTTTAATTTAGAAAAATTCTATTGTATAAACTCACATTCTATAAGCAATCAAATTCAAAGCATTAATAAAACTGTGATGATTATATATAATTAGGACGATAAAAAAATTTAAAGTCACCCACTTTACATATTGCAAGAAAATAAATACTATGACATCTTTCCACCCAGCAGCCGTTCTTGCCTGAGCATGATCAGCATGCCTGATTAGATCTAAACAGAAGATAAGCTTGGCATGCTTGCGCTGTTTAATAAGGAAACATCTCAGGCTTCGGCATCGTTTCCTTGGAAGAGGTAGGTATGAAGCAGCAGCTAGTTGCAGTCAGAGGTGGAATCTCTTACCAAGATAAAGCATCAGATCAAATCATGCCTAATTCAAAACAACTCTTCATATCTTAGTGACCCTTAACAGAGAATATAAAAGAACTATCATTACACATTTAAAAGCAAAAATGTTTTCACTATTTTTAAAGGTTATTTTTGCCTTCCAATGTTACTACCAAACTGCTAAATCCACTAAGTTTAAGAAATAATGGAGGCTCAGTGTTTCCTTTCCTCCATTAATCACCACTGAATTAAGTTAAACAACAAAAATCTGTCAGTAAAAATTTAATACTACCACTTAAAAATTGTTGAATGAAATCACACAAAAGTTTTATCAACATTTACAGATTATTGGCTCTTAAAACCTTACATATATGATGCCTTAAATTTAAATTGTTGTAGAGCAAATGAAAAATAGCTATGTTTTCAAATCATCTTAAAAATATCAACTTATTTTTACACTTTATACATGAGATAATAAGCTATGATATTAGAATTTATTAGAAAACACGTTCATATTATCACTGATATGTTTACTATTTTAAGCTCTGGTCCATCAATCTTTCTTTATATAATTCTGATACTATTCAGAGTATATGACGAAAAAGTAGTGTGATATGTTTCTAGTTCTTTAGTAGTTACATACTTCTTGTTATCAATAAGTACACTATACATGTTTTATTCCTTTCCCCCGCTCTATCTCAAGAGAAACTTCTAAAGCATGTGTTTTATTTCCAGGGCGTAATTTATTGACCATATGAGAGATGACTATGTACATTAGTCAAACATCATGTCTAGCCAGCTGCTGCAGAAACCTATTCAAACCTGCCTATCTTTTCTGTAAAGCACTTGCTTGACATCTTGTTAAACCTCTGTAATTTTCTTTTGATTACAATGCAGCCAGGCTTTCAGTGCTTTCTCAATTAACATTTGTCAAAAGCATCACAATCTTTTGCAGAAGTGTCAAATGACTGCTGCTGAATCAAGTCTTAAAGGGGAGTCAGGAATCAGAACAAAAAAAAGAAGGGGGCAGAGCAAAATGCTTGTGTGCTATACTCTCTGATATATCCCTGAACACTGTACTAATTAGTATACATTTAATCAATGAAATATGTATTAATACTACAATTAGTGATTTGTTAGCTAAACATTAGTCGAGACTCATAATAACCGAGTCAAGACAGACAATAAAAAGACCTCAATTAAAAGTGCAAAATTTCATGCAACATTCTACAGCCATGTTTCCATTGTTTTTTTGATCATTTATTTTTATACCTTTTCACCCTTTTGTTTGTTTGGTTTTTTTTGAGACAGAGTCTTGCTCCAGGCTGGAGTGCAGTGGTGTGATCTCGGCTCACTGCAACCTCCGCCTCGCGGGTTCACGCCATTCTCCTGCCTCAGCCTCCCGAGTAGCTGGGATTACAAGTACTCATCACCACACCCAGCTAATTTTTGTATTTTTCATAGAGACGGGGTTTCACCATATTGGCCAGGATGGTCTCGATCTCCTGACCTCATGATCCGCCTGCCTCGGCCTCCCAAAGTGCTGGGATTACAGGCGTGGGCGACTGTGCCCAGCCACCTTTTTACCTTTTGATCACCAAAATAGATTAAAGGGAATCAACTTATTCTTCAAAGATAAATAAGTAAAATACTGGGATATCATGAAAAGAAACATGATCGTAAAGCTTAAGTGACAAAACTAAATCTTTTAGAGGGACACACAGAATTTCTGGTGTTTTGGAAGGTTTAAGTTTAGCAATACTAGAAGAAAAGCAACGTTTTTTTTTTTCTCATGTGAAGGCAAGAAATGCAGATATATTTCTAAAAATTATTATTTATTTCCACAGGTGGAAATGGCCCCAATAGGGCATCTGGTAATGATAAAAGCATATGTTGACTTAGCCTTTATGTGCCAGGTGCTATGCCAATCACCATTCATGGATAATCAGATCATTTTATTATATCCTTACCACAACTCCATGAAGTAGGCACTATAATTATCTTCCTTTTACAGATAAGGAAACTGAACGATGAAGTTAAGTAATTTGTTTAAGGTCACTGTCCCATACTCTTAAATGCTATGATCTTACTTTCCTAAAGATTTTCATAGACTCCAGAAAAATATGGCACCCAACAAGCAACCTTGCAGTTATCTGGGAATATTTAACTGACATGGTGTTGTGTGTAAATCTCTAAAAGAATAACAATTTGGAAAGAAAATATAAGACTAGAATAACAAACAATGAGAAGGTCCATAATGAAACACAGCAAAAGGTTCAAAACTCAAGAATATCCTATAAATAATAATAGAAAACACAACTCACAATAGAATTATAACTCTAATCCAAACCCTTTTTATACAGCTCTATTTATCCTGATGCCATATCATGTACTCAGATTAGCTGACTTAGGATTCTACCTACCATTTATCACGTGAGTAGAAACAAAATACTTAAGAAATGATGTTAATAAACATGCTTAGTAAGTACCCATGAAGATTTTAACTAACACATACAGAATGGTTCAATTTACTCTGGTTATGTACTAAGAACTTCTATTTATTACCAGGGTTTTCCTACATGAAAGGGTTTGAAGACAATAGCCATTTATGCCAAGTATAATGTTCTCCTCATTGAGGTCCAAGAAGTCACCCTCACCCACTGTTCATCAAATGAACTCTAGAGTGAGTCTGCAGCTTGGTAAAGCAAAAATGAGCAACTATTCAACTTATCCCTGTTCACTGTCTAAAAACACTGATCATCTATTACACAGCATTCTTTATCAGTGAAAAGGTATTTCCAGAAGTATGTATTCTATGCTATGTATAAACAAAACTGGCTCTCTTGATGGAAAATTTTTCCTGGTATTACAGAAGTATATCACCTCATTAATTAGTCTAACACAAACGTTGAGGAACTGCCAAAAGCCAAGTAAAAATACATCATTTTCTTTATAATGTTTGGGATATCAAATGTGCAGATAGATTAAGTAAATATAAAGCAATCCAGATTAAGAAATGAAAAAGACTTAAAACAGGACTGGAAAGGGTTTTTTCTAAGGCCATTCCAGAGAGGAAGAAGGTGAAAGAGTAAAACCAGACCTCGTTTAGGGGAGTGGAGCAAATGAATTACGCAGGGATCACATCAAGCGCAAAATTCACCAAAAAAAAAAAAAAAAAAAAAAAAATCAGAGCACAAAAATAGTATGTGTGTGCTTTTAGGAATGAAAAGGCTTGGATTTATAAATGGGAAAAAGTATTGAAGCTAATATATTATTAAACGGTCCACAATGAAAAATGATATGGATAATGAAAAAAAAGAATGGATAATTTTACAGCACAATTTATGCCTTGGCCATATACATGATAGCAAATCCAGTACAGATGACTTGAACTATGAATTTCAGCAAAATAAGTCAATCACTGCTTTATGACAGGCAAAAGACCTCATTTCTCTGATTGCTCTGTTCTATCGGTTTCTTGGATCTTGTTTCTGAAAAGCAGACAGTGGCTTATTGGTTTGACCTAAATTGTGGGCCAGAAGAGTTCTGCAAGACCCCACCTACATGCATATAGGTAGCACACATCTTGGGTGAAAGAGACGGGAGTCTCTAAAAGCATAATATAAATTACAAGGGGAGAGAAAGAGAGAGAGAGAGAGAGAATGAATATGGGTCAAACAGCAGTGAGAGAAATTTAGGTCAGATAATGCTTTCATCACTAAGGGCTGAATAAGGGGTCAATATGAATTTTCATGTTCTGGGACTATTTAAGAATAGCTATTTTGGATGACAAAACATAGTTGTAGGAACATACAGTTGCTACATCTGCCAAAGCTTCTAATTTTTAAGCCTGTTAACTGCTCTTTCCAAAAGTATCTAAACTATCAAAGACTTTTCATCTGAAATGGATCAAATTATTTACTAGAATATACGACACATGTGGAGGATGATATTACTAACCGTCTTTGTATTCACTGAAGTACTTTGTGGCAAGTAGATGTGTAATGTTTTTATTTGTTGAACTGAATTATACTCAACTTTATTCACAGTTCTTCGAGTTGTTGCCTGATTATGAATTTGCAATTTGTAAAATATTTTTTTCTTTCTTTTTTTTCTGAGGATAACAAAAAATTTACTGCTACCCAAGACAAATCTAACAACTATGAGACTAGTACAGGCTACAAAAAGGTTAACATGAGGATCAGTATAATTTTAGCCAACGCCAATACAAGTTTGTCAAAGCCTTAAGTTTGCCTTTTGACAAACCTATAGGATACAAAAGCAGTACTGTAGTAGCAGCTTTTGGAAACACAATTGAAATAGATGAAACAAACCAAACTGCTGCCTCATGAGCAAACATATGTATACATTTTTAAATAAATGATTCCAAGATACTACCAATAAAACCATCAATGCCCTAAAAGAAGATTTCATTGTTATAAATTTAACAACGAACATTACTGCTATAACTATAAGCCAAAAAATACAAACATAACCTGATTTAGGGAAAAAGGGACTGTACACTAAGTCAATGGATCATTATTGTTATTAAATGAACAAAACTCACATATTTTGGTATCCTACAATGACTTAAATTAGAAATTCCATGACAAAAAGCTGTGACTTCTGCTTTTGAGGTCCTGACCATATGACAATATTTAAAACTGATTAACAGCATATCTTAAAATATGTAGGGGTGTTTGTTATGAACATATTTAATTGTGTGTACTTGCATTGCTTTAGTAGAAGAAAAAAGATATTAGTCTCTGTGCCACCTTATTAAAGACATTAATTTAATCACTCCAAAGAACTTTCTAGTTCCTAAAATTTTGAAATAATGCAATTATTTCAAGATTAACTCAGTAAATTAGGATATTAATTCAGATCTTAAACACACATTGTTCAAATAAAAGACTTATAAACAGTGCAAGTTCTATAATAATACATTAACAAGTTATTCTTTCATCATGAGTATGAGATAATCTTGTTTTAATAAAATATTCATTTATCATCAAAAATTATTTCCCACAAAATAGAACTCACTTAATAAACCAAAGTATATTTCCAAAAATTGAGCATTACTTTCTAAAGTAATGATCCTCCATAAAGAGAATACAAATCACACAATCTAGCATATCTGTCATCGTAAGTCATCACTTGGGATCATTTAAAGCTTAGTTCATGTGATTGTTAAAGTCACAGAAATATTGACTTAAAACCGTCACTAATTTATTAGAAAATAAAAACATGTAATTTTACATGATAATCTAGAAAAATATTGGATGGCTCCCTCTTCTACTCAGAGAACAGACACCAAAACTTCAGAACGCATATACCTGGCATTGTACATCAAGCCCAGCCATTCTCCTGGGACTTCCTAACACACGTTTCCTTTAACCACTGGCGCCAAGAAGTTAAAAGGTCTGCACATAGATTGTAATCAATTCAGCAGTCAAGTAGGGGAAAACAACCAAACAAAAAAAGATTGCTAACAGATTTCTGGTTGGTATAATATTTTTAGCAATGAAAACTAAACTGATCAATAATGCCACAATTTCTTGAAGCCAACATTAAAATGAAGAAATTGAGAAAAAGAAAACGAACCATAATAAGGCTAAAATGTACCACAACACTGTCCTTTGTGCTTTAACTATGAAAAGGGGAAGAAAATAGGAAAAAGAAATTAAGAAGTCTTTTAAAAAAAAAATGCTATTCACAAAATGACATAAGCATTAGCAAGTAAACATTCTTACCTTGGGCAGGATCAGGTGGACCAAACTCCAGAGAATACCGTAAAATGAAGTTATTGTTCCACACGTAAAGTTGGTTATCTCTTGGATTGTAATCCACTGCAGCAATATACTGATACTGGTTGGGGAAGGGAACATCTACATATTCTCCTCGGTTTAATCGGGTATTATAAATGTAATCAATTGCGTTCTTGCCTGTTTCACTTTCATTGTCTTGATAAACTGACCTAACCACATAGAGGACTCCACATATCATAAAAGCGTTTGATGCGGCACGTTTGTCGTATACAGTCTCCCACGTTGCTTCGAATCGAAGAGTGTATGGATTCAGCTGGCTAATAACTATCATTCCATTGTTCTGTTCAGTGGCATAAATGACCCACAAGCCATTTTCATCAACTGCTAGGTCGATATCAGTCTTTCCCCCCCACCTGTATGGGGAGGTATCATGGTAGTTGGCATAGTTAATTATGGCCTCGCCACTTTTAATTCTAGTCCTCAAGTCAAATTTTACAATATTCCTTGTTCTTTCTTTGTTAAAGAAGACAGCACCATCATATACCACAAATCCAGTACCATCTACTCGATTTGGAAGTTTATACGTTGTTGTTTGGCGACTATTTTGGAAATCTTCTAAAGAAGCATATTCTATTAAAGTATCGGTACGATAGGGAGTCCAGGGCATGAAATAAATTTTATCTGCAGCCTGAAGAGGGTCCTTGCACCAAGCACCTGCCTTTTGTTCAGCTTCATATATACATGGTGAGTCCACAATTGCTTTCAAGGTCCCAGGACACACAAAAACTAACAGTTACAGAGAAAAGACAAAAATTAAACCAAGTTAAAAAATTACACAGGTAAACACGTTTCAGTGGTCACAAATCAAAAGGGAAAAATTTATATTATTAGCATTCAATTTTACCAAAATTTATACTTAATACAAATACTACTCTTATTTTCTAAAGTTAGCATAATAAGTGCATCAGGGTACAAAGTAACTGGAGTTTATGTTTATTTTCACTAGCAAAAGCCTAAGTTTAAGATCATTCGTAAGCGGTCTGACAATTTAATTTTTTGCTATGTTTTCATTTTATAATCTGTTAACCTATGTTTTAAAAGTCTGAGCTTGTGCACAACAGTATATATTTTATTTTATTCCAAACATTATACCCTTCAACCTCCTACTTCACCTATGAGCCCCCAAAAGCAAAACTATGAAATAAGGCAAATAAAACAGAAAATCCAATGTGAAGACTTATTTAGAACTTTTACATAAGTTAGACTGAAAACAAAGGTGCTTCAATTTGAGGAACATAAATATTCAGAAAATGCAATTAGGAGCACAGAAAAGTAAATACAAGAAAAGCAGTGATGAAATAATCAGGAGACCCTGTAACCATGGCATGCTATGGAGAGGGTTCTGGAAGCCAGGCAAGATGACACTTTGATTATAAGAAAATATCCAAGGGTGTCAGAAAAAGAGATAAAGGGTAAAAAAGAAACAGAGAAAGGGCAGCTCCCCCTCGCCGACTTCAAAATTTTTACCCCATCACCAGATTTAGCAGTCAAACAATTTCATTGTAAACAGTTGACTTCCTTATGAGGTGGCATTTATGAGATCCTGCTGATTATTTTAATACAGGAGTGTTGTGGGGAGAGGGGAGGGAGGAGGTTAACATCCATAAGGCACATAACAGGGAGCTGGGGTTCAGACTGTATACATTATTTACCTTTTTGCTCCACTTCTATTTTAAGCATCGGAAGAAAAATAAAAAAGGTGCAAGGAAAAAAGAAAAAAGATTAAAATAAATTGACTATTAGTCTAAGACTGAATTCGTAACAGATGCTAAATACAGGAAGAATAAGAGCTGTACTACTTTGGATAAAGAGAAACACACAACAGGAAAACCTAGCAGGAGAAAGATTCTAAAGTTACATAAAAGAACATAGATCAATCATTTTAGGAGATTAAGGAGGCAATACAAATATGATGGCATGTTGTTTCACTTAGTGTACCTGAATAAATAATGAAACTCTTCACTAATGCATGGTATACATACTCTTGCCTTTCCAAGTCACTCAGCATTCTTACCAAGTTTTACTTTCTATATGTATGCTATAGACATAAATGCATGCATAGGTACATCATCCCCATTTATTTTATGTGAACTCAATTATTAAACTAACTTTAGATAAGCATAACAATAGAAAAATACATTTATAAAAATCACAACTTAATTTTGGAATTTAGATCAAATTTAATTCTGATGTGGTTACATGTTTTTCATAGATATTTACTAAGAAGAAATATATAATTATGCATCCCAGTATGTTTCAATTGTTTTTCTATTATTTTCTATTCCTAGATAAATTTTAACCATTAAAAAAGCCTCCTCTTTAGGAATATATAAATATCCCCCCATCACCAGTAGAGATTTTGAAGAGTAGGGTAAGGTAGTACCTTTCTTCCCCACTAAGAACTAGTATATTTACTTAGGCTTACACATATATTTTATTATAAAATTCTGATTAAATTTTCTATATTATATATCTCAAACTTGTAATACTAAGTCTATAAAAAAAGCAAGCAAAATACATACAAGGGAAAAGCAAGCACAGTAGGCAAGGAGAAAAAGGAAGAAAGAATTATGGTTAGATTATTATGACAATTCTACCATCATAAATTTACACAGAAAGCAAGCTAGCATGCAACAACAACCATACCAAGCATTCAAAACAAATACCTTGACTCCACAGACCTTATAAAAAGTAAATGCTTTCATAAAACAAACCTGATTAGTAGAGTTATATGAGAAAAAACCAAACCAAAACAAAACTACAGTTTCAAGAAATGGATTATGCAGTTAGGAAGGGGGCTATGTAAGATCCTTGTTGGTAAACAGTATTCTAATACTTACAAACTATAAAATACTTTACATTGTATATAGGTCTGAAGTATGTTGCCTGAAATTCATAAAACGTTGAGACATCATGGTGTCTGTTTCTCCCTTTTCTGTTGTTAAAATGCATTAGGATGTGCTAATATTGCATTTCCAAAATATACTCAGACAGAGTAGTGTACATTTTATTAAGATCTTAGTTTAATTCATTATAAAAAATTACAATAATTCATCAAGGCTAAATGTTGACCTTCTGAAACACCTACGGTAAAAAAACATCACACGGACATTTTTGCCATAGGAATGGCATACAACAACTTTCCACATTAAGCTACAACTTTCCCCAATCAACTTGGTCTATGTAACCACTTTCAGGAAACATACTTGCTCTGTAATGTGTAATTCTGACTACATCTGAAAAACAAGAAATTCAACATTACTGTCTTGAAAACAACACTTTTGTATAAACCACTAGTCCTAAAATTACTCCTCAGCGAAGAGCAATATTATACCTGCTTAGAATCAATAATGGAAGGGCGTGGTGAGAAAATGAGGATAAGAGAAATCATTAGCATTGTGACTACTCAAACTACATTTATACACAGCTGTACGCTTTTTTCCCCTAAGGAAAGGATAATTTTACTGAAATAAATTAAATGTAAAGGATGGAAATAATACATTTTAAAATGTTTATTTTAAAAAGAACTTAAAACAAGTTCAATAAAAGATGTAGAAAGTATATTTTGTTTTCCATTCATTGAAAATGGCTAAATTTTACTATTTGATAAACTAAAATTACAATGTAGTTAGTGAACAGAATATCAAAGTCTTTATTTACATGAGATTTGATATCACATATTAAAGAAAAACAAATATAAATTATATATTGTATATGTTTTATAATTCTGTTGAAAAGTAAGTAACACTCAAAAGTAAAGATTAAAAAATATTATAAACCTTTGATGATTAATGAATCATACAAGGAATATATGGCTCTTTACAACAAAAAACATTATTATTTTTATGAAAATCAAAAGGACAGACATCTGTCAAAGCAGCCAAAATTCTATCAGTAGAAGAGTACAAAAATACAATAAAATTAATATAATCAGCATTCTCTATCACATGCCAAAAATATACCACAACTTGTCTTAAGAGACTGCATGAATTAACAATACACTTACTTTTCTACAGACCAAACATACAAGTATATGAACCACCAACATGAGTGGAGGACTACATGGATATGCAAGACAAGAAATTAACCCACACTAACTACACAGCCGACATACTCTGTATGTGAAGTGACACACGATTTCATTGAATAATCTTACATGTTTATTCATTAATAATAATTTAATCAATAAGAATGGCTATTTTTCATATTAAATAAAATTTGTGGTTAATATTACAGTATTTTTTCAATGATACTTTGAAATAAGAGGTACAAAAATGAAAACCAAATCCTGCCTGTAGGATGCAAAATTCTGATCTGATTACTCTCCTTTATCCTCCAAGATCTTTATGACTTCTTTCAAATATAAATAGATGCAATTCCTAACAGTCTGGCAATAATGGATACCCTGTATACATACACTTTTGACATGGATATTAACTGGACAAGTACAAGCATCACATATAATGCATGTGCCGTTTATAAACATACTAAAGTAAACAAAGTAACAGCATTTCTAATGTTCTCTGTTGAGCAAATTTCTTTTAAAAATTTCAGAAGTCATGAAAACTTTCTGAAATTGTTTTATAATAGGACTTAATTGGAATATATAAGATCCTGGAGGATTTACTGTAAATAGAAACTGGTATAAAGCCAAGTGGTAAAAAATACATAATAAATGTTATCTGATGGTGACAATTTTATCAACTAAGTAACGTGTAAAAGAGGTATGCAAATGTTATAAAATATAAAAACACTACTAAATCAAGGAGAAAGTGAAAGTTAAAGGCTCACAATAAAAGAAGGTATAAGGAATGAATACAATGGACAGAGGCACAAAGAAACAAAAGTTGAGGAAAATGAGAAAAAGAGGTAAGACATTGTCCTACATATGATTAGAATAACTTAAGACTCTTTGCATTATATTTTAATATCAGTTGAAACCGTGCAATTTATAGAGTGTCACTACTGTAGAGTATATAGGAATTATAATTACTTTTATTCTTTAGCAAGGATTAAAAAAAAAAAAAACATAGACTTATTTCTGCCTCGTGCAAACATCTAGAAAGGTAACAGCAAATTAATTACTGATTTTTTAAAATTAAAAGACAGAATCTAAAAGAAACAAATACTTCTCTGAGTATAGCTATTTGCAAGTTTAGTGCACAATGTACAATACTTCTGGAGAACTGAAAAAGTAAAATTTTGCAAGTTAGATGTTCCAGAAGATATCCACATTTTCCTTTCTTAAACAGCACAAGAAATAACTTATGAATCTGAAAATAATATTTGCTTAACACTGTTCTTGGTCTATAGACTAGGTTACAGGAACTGGCTCCAGAAAGACAATTCTTGGCAGCTCTGACTGATTCCACTGTTTGGCAATGGATGCTGTATTTCTTCTCTAATTTGAGGACAGAAACCATGCTAAATTCAAGTGAAAGTGACTTTATGGAACAAAATTTTGGTTAGGTCAAAAGAATACAATGTTCCTCTAGTGGCACAGGAGAATGATTACGTAAGCCACCAACACTACACAGGAGAAATGATATAAAGATCAGTGTACTCAGTAGGCTTCCAATCCTACAAATGGTATAGAAAATACTGAAAACATAAAAAGCATCCATTTCACAGTAACACAGGAACACAGAGCAGGGATGAAAAGATAATCTGTGTTTGGCCTTTAACTGATAACACAAAAAGCCAATTTGTCAAAACTGTGTCAGAGAAAAGATGGAGAGTGCCTTCACAGCATGTGTCAGAACGTGTTACTACCATACCGGACATAGCAGAGCTATCAGAATTTGGCCCTTTGGTTTTAGAAATATTGATAGCTTGAACATATACATCTGTCAGAATTAATGACCTAGCTTTTGAGGTTCTGTAAAGAGCAATTTCATTATTTGGCAAATCCTTTTTTATTAAAGGAGGAAAGTGTACAAAAACCGTCTCAAATCAGCAAAATTGCTGATAAAAAACATAATTCAAATGCCTATGAACTAACTGATAAAAAACATAATTCAAATGCCTATGAACTAACATGACTAAATGACATCTCTATCTTTTCTATAATTTAAAAAGCAAAGAAGACAACAATACTATCAAACTAGCTTATGAAAATCAGGTAATATTCAAACTTTAAGTTGCCTAAAATGCTAAGATTTTTTAAAATTGAAAGTACAGAATACAATTTTGAAGTACGAATTCTGAGATTAGAAGGAAAACTACACAAAATTTGACTACTGGCCGAAGCCTACCCACAAAGTTTTCAACTGAATTTTAAATATCTGTCTGTAGGATCTTAACAATGATGCTAAAAAATTAAAAATAGAAACATGTGCAAGGTTATGTTATATCTAACTATTATATTAAGCATTAAGATTTCATCACTGAATCCCGTAAAGAAATGCTCCCTTAAAGACAATAGAACAAAAAGTAAAGCACTTGCCTCAGTTACTGCAATGGTAGCTTTTACTCAGCACTAAAGTTACTACAACAGCAGGTAGCCATTCAAGTAGCTCATGATTAAAACTGAAGTCAATTCCTTCTTTAGAAAACTGTGAGCCAAACCAATTTGTCAGCAACTGGTATTGGGCAAAAGTACAGATTTCTATCAGCTGTATTGAATAGCTAATTCAAGTTTGTTTTCTGGAAAAACACTAGCCTTAAAAGCCAAACACTTAAGAACACAGACAGACACTTGGCCAGCATCACACTATGGCTTCCTTCCACACTTCATGAAGCTAATTGGAGGCCCAAGTCTGTTAGTGCTCTGCATGCATAATGGTTGTGTAGGCCATAAACATATGCTTCTTTCACATGTGTAGTCTTTCAGCATCAACGAGTAATGCTGGGGAAAGTGTAAAACAATATAAACTGCATACTTACTGTAAGGGACACACTCATACTGGACTTCAAGGTATTTGTATGTTCCAGGACATGGATCAGGAAACACATCTGACCCAGTAACTACTATACACTGTGTTCGATTGTTGCACCTGAAAGACAGAATGTATCAAACTTGTGTAACATAATTTATTTGATTATTTTTACTTAAATATAACATAGAAGTTTTTCGCATTTTCTTCAAGTAACTAGAAACATGAAACAAAAATTCAAGTAATGTTAAGTTACTCTACATTATTAAATACTTTATAAGAGTTTAGTTTTCTTTATGTTGTAATACAGTGGTATGGGTCACACTAAATTTCAACTAGAAGTAAAAAAAAAAAAATGGCCAAGTTTCCTATTATTCTGTTACACATTTTAATTTTTGACGTATTCAACATGAATTGAACAACAACAAGAACAACAACAACAACAAATATCTTACCAGGATATTAGACATCATACTTAAGAGTTAAAATTACAATTTTTAAAAATAGTCCTATAAGTAAACAGAAATGTATGAGTCAAAACCTGAATTTCTCAGCAGGAAGTTTTTGACAACACAAAACAAATAAGGAGCCAGGATTTTAATTGTATCCTCGAAATCCAGTTGGGTGTGAAGTTCTTTATTGTACATACTTTCTGGAATACCAGAAACTAAGCTAGTAGTGTTCATCTCATATGCTATGGTCCACATAAATGACAAAGTGCATTTAAAGGATTTAGAAAAATGCTTTGGCACATATGTAATGTCTAAGCATTATTGTTACTCTTTCTACTCACAGATCAATGTGCCTATATAATTAATGAGATGACTATGTACCTTGGTTCAACACCGGTACTCCCTAAAATATAACATTAGAAAGAACGTTGTACTAACATGATGCCTAGAATGTTCTAATTATTGTTATAAGGAATTATTTTCTTATTTTTGCATTGTCATTAATTCACCAAGAATACTAGAAATAGGTTAGAATTTCAGATAAAATGATATGTAAGTTCTATGAATTTGTCCAAAGGTTCTTTTTATAACCTTTGTAAAGGCAAGAAGTATTTCTTTTATAATTTGATTTGATTATAACCTAATGAATGAAATGTTTTCAGGGTTTTTATTGTATTTTCTGATAGCACATACATTAAGAAGGCAAAGCAAGCAGAACAAGAACATTATAACAACATTTATTTAACAGTTGGAATACCACATATTCTACAGTGCATAAAATAACTGAACTATAAAATAGCACTATAAAGAATTTTGAAAAAGCATCCCAGTTTTTAGCACAACTAACTAAGGGCAGTAGAAGGTGAAGCATGTTAAAGATGGGTAGGAACAGTCATATACTTTGGTGCCCTTTGAACTCAAAACTAGACTCTCTTTGAACAGCAGCAAAGCCTGAAAACTTCTACAGGATTAAATAGGTAAATTTTATAATTCAAAGTATACTACAATGAACTTCAAACAAGACTTAAATATTAAATAAATTACAAGTAACTTTTATCATGATTACTTTATAATACAGGATAGCATTTTTTTTTAGAAATATACCATATACTGTAATTTTCAAGAACATAAATAATGTAAATGGTACAGTGTCACAGTCTTCTGTAACATATGTTTTCCTGTCATTATTCTGTATTTCTCCTAATTGGGTTCACTCATCTGAAGAAATTTGCCAGTAGTTCACCACTTAGTGTAAACGAATTATTTTAACATGAATCACAGAACCTATTTCACATCCTAAAATTCAAGACAAGAAGCAGGTTTACAGTTTCTCAACAGGTCAATAACTAATGTTCCCAGGTAAGAAATATAATTCTGATGTTTCATTTTTCTTCTTTTTTAAACTTTTGCAGCAACAAGACAGTTCACTGCTTTCTTAGTTTCTTGATCTAACAGAAATCCTAATCACTAACTTGGTCCCATTAAAAACAAAAGTCCTTTCATTTCCTTCTTTGTATTTATTCATACCTACAGTGATCTTCCTTTTATCACATCCTCACACTTCTCAGAAATGAAGAAAGATAAACAACTGTGTGTTAGATATCCCTTTCAGATACTCCCACAGTATACATTTTGTAACTACTCAACCAAACTCTGTTAGGTTTTGAATGGTATTTAAATACGATTACAGAAACCCCTCCAAATAACAGTTTCTCTTGTGAGTAAACTCTTCATTTAGTTTATCACCCTTCACTTCTCACAAAAAGCTCCTCTCATATTAACAAACTAGCAGCTGGTGGGAGAGAGAGGGAGCTGTACTCAAAGTTGAAATGGACCAACAACATGAAGGGCTTTGTTATCAAGGAGAAGGAGAAAGTAACTCAAAGAATTTGGCAATTTATATATATAATTTTTCAAAAATAAAGAATACATTGAAAATTGCCCAGATTTTTTCCACCAGAAGTAACTGGATGAATGAATATAATTAGTGCAGGGTTAGAGATCTTTTACTGTGTATTTCTAATGTCATGGTATGTTCTGCAGGAAGTATATAATATAAGCATTCTGGTTTCCATTACATTTTGCTTGAAAGAGGACCAACACCATAATAAAAAATAACTGTCCATATTTACTCTCTTTCTGAACAACTTTGCAGTAGTCCTTTGACCAATTACAGGTTCAAATTAATGTGAAAGCAATTATGATTATTTATACCAACCACATAATTTTTATTGATTTAAATAATCACACTACACACAGCATCCACTTTAAGACAGCAAAATGTATTAATTCTACAACTGTAATCTTAAGCAAAACTGATTTAATGAAGCTCCTGCAATAAAATTATTAAAAAATTCTGGAATTCAGGGCCTCCCAAAATATAAAAAATGCTCATTAAAAAATTTCATATGTTTATATACACAGAGATATCAGAAGTGTAAGAAATTAATCTTGAGAAAAACGGAAAATTTAGAGCTAAAACAGTTAAGGGTCAGAAAGACGAGAAACCCAAACTGTAAAAAGTACAAGAAAATTAGAGATTTGCATGCCAGGGTCTTGATTCATGGAAATGAATCTAAGCTTTTAGAGGCCCAAATTAGAGAAATAAAAACACAGATATTTATATTCCTTTATAAAGGATGCAAGCAGCATTAAGTTTCCAAATAGAGAGTGAGGAGACAAGAAAAACATTGGAAAACACCCAATGTGAGCTATTAATACTAAGAATAATCTAAAAATTCCTTAACAATATGCTGTTGGTAAGATTATAAAACTGTAAATTGCTATCATTTAAAAAGATCCAGAAAGAAAGCAATTACTTATCCACAGAAGCAAAGTAAATTCCCGCCAAGGGCTCAGCTTCAAGTTCTCACACTAATGAAAGCGAAAAGGTAGATTAAGCCAAGAAAGAAAAAATGTTTAGTCGTTTGTATTCTCAGTACTAGGCATAGTTCCTGGCATGACTTTCTCTCTCCTTCTCTACAGAAGAAAATTCTTTACCAATAAAGGTATCATTGTTTAAACAATCAAAATATCAGTATATTTTGGTTAATACCATGTGGGTTTATTACGTTAATAACCTACAATTTTCTTAAACTTTAAGCATAAAAAATCTGTATGAATGAGAACAAGGCAAAAGAGAAAAAATAGGGTTTAATAAGTATACCTTTTATTACAATTTGAAGGAACTACAATTACTGTTCATCATAAAGAAACAGATACTAGAATATATTTTGAACACTTCAACTTTCAAATAACTGGTCGTATTTCATTTTATATTTATAAAGATGAACAGATGAGTTAAGATAGTGAAAGCAGTAGTTTTCAAAATATGGTCCTCATACTAACAGCACCACCATCAACTGAAAACTTGTTAGAAATACAAATTATTGGCCGGGTGCGGTGGCTCACGCCTGTAATCCCAGCACTTTGGGAGGCCAAGGTGGGTGGATCACCTGAGGTCAGGAGTTTGGGACCAACCTGACCAACAGGGAGAATTCCCGTCTCTACTAAAAATACAAAAATTGGCCAGGCATGGTGGCGCATGCCTATAATCCCAGCTACTTGGGAGGCTGAGGCAGGAGAATCGCTTGAACCCACAAGGTGGAGGTTGCAGTGAGCCGAGATCGTACCATTGCACTCCAGCCTGGGCAACAAGAGTGAAATTCCATCTTAAAAAAAAAAAAAAAGAAAAGAAAGAAAGAAAGAAGAAAAAGAAATACAAATTATTAAGCTCCACCAAAAATTGGCAGGTTCAGAAACTCTGGAAGTGGATACCCGGCCATCTCAGATTGAACAAGTTTTGCAGGTGATTCTGATCAGTGTAACTTGTGTGAGAACCGCAGGGTTAAAACAAGATAGGTTTAGATACTTTACTAAAGAATAAATATGAATGGCAAAACATTTTACTCTATAAAACTTAGTAAAACAAATGAAATAGAAAACAAGTGATGAGTACAATTTATGCAAAAAGTACATAATACAGTTTACAATGTTAATATGTTTTCTTGCTAATTCTAAGTGTAGAAATCAAGAGTTTTAGTTGCTCTAATTTTGAGCAAGCTGTCTAGTTGTTCATCAATTCCTAACATGGAGAATCGAAATACGTACAATAGATATCTGAGTACATGTATACATCACATATGAACCAAATTTTTTAACAGATAAGAAGTATAATGTTTTGCTGAAAATGTGCTTGCTAATGAAACACTAAAATTGGAAATAAAACTTTTGAGAATCTGTAAAAATATACTATGTTCTACAGAAGTATGTCATTAAAAAATAACAGAAAGATATGACCCATTGTAATCACTGCAAATTTTTCTATATTCAACCTTTGACTTCTTAATTTATTCAAATAAATTTTAATAAAGTGGCTCAACTCAGAGAGATGCCTTAGAGAGAACTCAGAGGCATAAGTAGGCCTTGTAAATAATGTCTAAACAATTTCGGGGTCAGGAGCTATTGCTCACGCTTACAATCCCAGCATTTGGGGAGGCAGAAGCAAAGGGAGAAGGATCTCTTGAGCCCAGGAGTTCAAGACCAGCTTGGGTAACATGGCAAAACCCTATCTCTACAAAAAGCTAAAAAAATTTAGCCAGGTGTGGTGGTATGTGCCTGTAGTCCCACCTACTGGGGGAGACTGAGGTGGGAGGATTGCACCACTGA